ATTTTTGGCTTCGAAATAACCAATCTGAAAATAGGTCATTTTTAGCCATTTTTGGCCAACAAGCATGGACTATAGCCCATGGTTTTGATGGATTTTGGAACGTTTTCCAGCTTTTCAAGCCGAAATTGGCTATATTGGCTTCATTTTTGGCCTGGAAATAACCACGGTAAGAAAAAAGACGAACGTGGTTATTTTAGATTTATTTTTAGCTTCCAAATAACCACGGTAAGACAAAATCCCAACTTGGTTATTTTAGCTTCATTTTTAGATTCGAAATAACCACGGTAAGAAAAAAGACGATCGTGGTTATTATAGCTTCATTTTTGGCCTGGAAATAACCACGGTAAGAAAAAAGACGAACGTGGTTATTTTAGACTTATTTTTAGCTTCCAAATAACCACGGTAAGACAAAATCCCAACTTGGTTATTTTAGCTTCATTTTTGGATTCGAAATAACCACTGTAAGAAAAAAGACGATCGTGGTTATTATAGCTTCATTTTTGGCCTGGAAATAACCACGGTAAGACAAAATCCCAACTTGGTTATTTTAGCTTCATTTTTGGCTTCAAAATAAYCAATCTGAAAATAGGTCATTTTTAGCCATTTTTGGCCAAAAAGCATGRACTATATAGCCCATGGTTTTGATGRATTTTGGAACGTTTTCCAGCTTTTCAAGCCGAAATTGGTTATTTTAGCTTCATTTTTGGCCTGGAAATAACCACGGTAAGGAAAAAGACGATCGTGGTTATTTTAGCTCCATTTGTGGCTTCGAAATAACCAATCTGAAAGAAGAGCCGGGCTTGTTTATTTTAGCTTCATATCACCGATTTTGGACCATTTTCACACATTTTAGAAACATATGCATTATTCATGAAGGATGCAAAATAGGTTATTTTTAGCTATTTTGGGGCAAAAAGCATGGACTATAGCCCATGGTTTTGATGGATTTTGGGCCATTTTGACACCTTTTAGAATTATATGCATTATTTATGAAGGATGCAAAATAGGTCATTTTTGGGTATTTTTGATGAATAAATTGGATTGATTCGGCAGTGCGTTATGGGAGTGTTAGGGGACATATTTCCCAGATATCATGTATTTCTTCACTTAAATCTGAGAAGAATTCTCTGGAATTTATACTCAACGTAATTTTCTAGTCCTTCTCGAAATGACTTATAGGAAATGGTTTTGATAGATTTGGTAATTTAAAAACAAATTATAGCTGAAATATTTTTATTCTTAGATTCATAGTAGATAAAGAATAATTTTGATATTAGACAAGAAGTGACAAGGATAAGACACTGTTATTAGGATATTTATTTATTTAATCAAAGAAAATTCAATGTCATCTAGATGAAAGATATGTACAAAAATAAAGGGTAGTCTATCTAAGAAGCGCTATTTCTAACTGAAATAATTTCTTTTATTTGCACCATTTGTGGTACGAAGAATTTATTGAATGTACTGCTTTGCATGTCAGTACTCCGTAAGGCTTTAATATGCACTGGATATGCATTTCATTAATGTATTAATCATCAATTAATAGATAATAATGATAATAATTAATTTTATCTGTGTAAAAATTATTTTTCTTGATTCCCGAATTCATTTCTCTAGCCCGGTGCGATTACCTGTTATTGTAGCGGATACAAATACTGACTTCTGATTGGCTGACAACAGAGGCACAAATTTTGACTTTTGATTGGCTGACAACAGAGGCACAAATTCCGACTTTTGATTGGCTGACAACAGAGGCACAAATTCTGACTTTTGATTGGCTGACGATAGTAGCTTTTTTTAGTGTCGAATTTCTAGTTACTTTGGCTCATGTGAAACGTCGAACTTCACGAGCCGAACCTAAAATTTGACCCGAGCCGTACTTTCAGCCAGAAACCAGGTTCAGCATCTGTACTCACCATGATACGCTATCAGAGCAAGAAAAAAATACTAAGAATTAAGACAATCAGTATATTTAAGCAAAGGGAAAGGAAAATCTTGGTGATCGCATTTAACCCATGAAACATTTATCAAAACATTAAATTAATTAAACGAGAAACAGGTTAAATGGAATCACTCTGTAGAGACCTTTGCACCATCACGTGATGGCAGCCATGACATGAGGCACAACAGTACAGTCTTTCTCTCCTGGGAAGCTAAATTTTCTCTCAGATAAATCTCATGTAAATCTGATAAGACCAAATTAAATTTTTCCTGCCTCCTGTCATGGCTGCCTTCACGTGATGGAGCAAAGTCTTTATTTATAACGTTTGTAAGTGCTTGCAATAAATAGTTAGATGGAGTAATACTAAGAACACTGCATCAACAATCCTGTTCAAAAGGAGTTTGAAATGTTCGAATGCAATCTCATACCATATTATTTATTTTCTATTTATTTCCATATAATTTCTAGACGTTTTACATAACTTGCACAGGGTACACTATTTATTGCAAACACTTTCGAATATGTTTTTTCTATTTAAAAATGATGGCACTGTACCCTGTCTGCAATAACACATAAACTAAAATCCCCCACCCCACCCCTTCTCTTTTACATTTTCATCCCTACGCGAAATTATTTTTATCAATATCAATTTCTTGTTCATTTTCTTGATATTTAAATTGTATTTATAGAATTGAATTTTGCAAAAGACCTCTTTACCTTGGGCGTAATGTTTTTCCATTTTAAACCACGTGTCATTCTCTTGAGAATAATATTCTTTGCTTGAGTTGTATTCACATTCATATGTCTTCTCATGTGCAACCATTAAACAAAAAAATAATACTCTAGGGWATGACACGTGGTATGAAATGGGTAAACGTAACGCCGAAGCTAAGAAATTTTGTGTTAAAAACAAACATTCGATTGAATATTATCTACGAAAATAATTAAATGTATTCTTATTATAATACAAGGTATTTTCTGATCATATTTTGGTGATTTATGGCATTTAACACCGAAAGGTTATTTCCATTTTAATGTTGCCTCATGTGGCAGTTAAGGGTGTGGCATGCGTTAAGAGGTAAGGGGGTGGCTCTTAGGGAGGAGTCTACGAGGTACCATGGGGTCTCATGTGGCAGTTAAGGGTGTGGCATGAGATAAGGGGAGAGGCTTTGAGGGAGGAGTCTACGAGGTACCTTGGGGTCTCATGTTGCAGCTAAGGGTGTGGCATGGGGTAGGGGGAGAGGCTCTGAGGGAGGAGTCCATGAGGTACCATATGGTCTCATGTGGCAGTTACGGTTGTGGCATTGGGTCAAGAGGTAGGGGGTGGCTCTTAGGGAGGAGTCTACGAGGTACCATATGGTCTCATGTTGCAGCTAAGGGTATGGCATGAGGTCAAGGTGTCAAGGAAGAGGCTCTGAGGGAGAAGCTTTGTCCAAATATATCATCTCCTCAATATGTCAAAATATCATCATTTTCTTGAAAACTGGAAAAACTGGAGTTGTAAGTGGAACAAGATTTTGATCCCGCTGGCCAAAACTGTGGCTACAGTGTTTGGTTCACGTCTGGGTCAGAATCATGAAATTCTGTTTTCTTCTGTTGTAATGTACACCAACATGGCTGCCCTGTCTTTGTGATTCCGAAAGAATAAGACCAAGAAAATTCTGCAAACTGATTCCCCTTCCCCGCCCCCCACAAACCTCGCATGTCCATTAATGTATTATGCCACATGATCAACTAGAATGTCTTATATTTAATTTGCTATAAATTCATTGATATTACTTGATCAGATTTGTTGTATTACATGTAGTATTACATGTAATACCATTACTCTTTCGAAACACTAAGAAAAGGCTTGTAGTATAGCATAGTATATTACATACTGGATGGGCACTGACCACCTATTTTCCCTCTTGTAAACTACAATCAGCTCTTGATCATGGGAGAACTACCACTCTTTCTCATATTAGAAGAATGCTGGGGAAAAAACAAGATAAATTGATAAAGAAATACATGCATGTTGCCCAAGAACGTTGTCTTCAGTGGAAATTGTTGGCACTATGAATGCTATGCATCATGGGATAACTTGGGGGTAAAATAGGGAGCAACATGATGAAGAAAGGAGTAACATGAATGCATGCTGCCCAAGAACGTTGTCTTCAGTTGTAATTCTTGGCACTGTGAATGCTATGCATGCTGTGATAACTTGGGGATTGTATTTGGTAATCATGTTGCCAACAAATGCAATGCATCATGGGAATGCTTGGGGAAAAACATGGTGCACCGTGATGAAGGCATTATAGAAGCACCTATAGAAAAGCCTTCAGTAGTAATTATGCTACCAGCCTGTATGGAATGCATCATGGGATACCTTGGGGATATATGACACTATATTAGGTTGAGTTTAAATTACCTCAACATCAATGAACTTGGCAAGCTCTGTTCTCATCTGAGAGTACTTGTCTTTCATGTCATCATGGTACATTTGTTGATCTTCTTTGATCAGTTGATGGTTTATATCCAGTGCTTTACCACAGCTCTTGATAAAATCCCTGCACAACAAAATCATTTAATTGTCATTTGATTGTTGAAGCTTTGACCCCAGATCCACTTTTCGGTGGTTCCACACTGCACTTCAAGAAAGATAAAGTGTTGTGCCTTGATGTAACTATTATTTTCACTCAAAGTTTCCCTTTAGCAGTTTACGCTTGAGATAGGTGGACATGGTACCCACTAATCAGGGAGTGGTACCCACTAGGCAGGGTGTGGTACCCACTAGGCAGGG